TTTTGATATTTATTTTATATATTTAAATGCCATTTAACAAAGAAAAATCAACCAAAAAAATGAGTTCACGTGTCACCTCTAACACGCGTGTCATAGGTTCGCCATCACTGGCTTAGACCCTGCACTGAGTCTTGCTGGTCTTCAAGTTTCCCAGGAGTAAAGCAGGGGCCCCCGTCCCACAGCAGGGGCACCCCGAGCCCAAGGCTTGCTGAGTGGGGCTTCCTAAGGGGCAGTGAAGGTGCAGGTGGGGTGAGGGCACTGCCTGGAGAGCTGACTCTAAACCTGTTCAGTCACGTCACCGCTCCTTTGTTAAGATGGTGCTGCCTTTTCCATCTGAAATTGCAATGGAAACCGTGATTTCTAACGCACAGCAGTGGCAGCCACCTCCTGCTCCTGGCCTCTTTAGAGACAATTACTCTAAAGCCTGCACACTTGGTTTCCAGGGCCTCACCGCTCAGGCTCACCTTCCCTGGGAAGCGGTGTGGTCTCTGATCAGCCCCCAGGGACCTCCAAGACCCTGTGTCAGCTTTGACCAAGTAACAACCCAGCACAAAACTCAGTGGCCGAACAGCAGTATGTTCTGTGGGCCTGCAGTGTGGACTGGGCTCAGCTGGGGCCTACTTGGCCCTAAATGGCCTCATTCGTGGCTGGGACGGGACAGCATCTCATGGCCGGTGTCCATCAGCCCCCTCCCACAGACACAATGGCCACTGGGGGCTGGTGCCTGCTCTATGGGACAGAGCAGCCAGTGAGGGGTGACAAGTGGCCTGGTTGGGTGTGAGGGCTGGAAGCTTCCCCGAGCCACACCATGGGGCGGGCTGCTGGGCAGGCCTGCCTTGCTGGGTCAGAGTACCACTAAGGGAGGTTGGGACAAGCAGAAGGGAAGGGGCCATTGGGAGTGAGCCCAGCAGGAGGGAGGCTGGCTTGGGAAGGAGAGAACTTAGTAGCCACAGGCTGAGGTGGGAGCTGCAGGGCAGAGGCCTAGTCTGGGCAGGACAGAGCTTATAGCCCTGCAAAGAATGGAGGTTAGAGCATGTGGATGGGGATCTGGGGGTGACAGGGGGGGCGGGGGGCTCAGAGCTGGCCAAGGGCTCACCTACTGCCTTGCCTGGTCACAGGATGGAGGAGTTGGGTCTGCACCCCGCTGACCGCCAGGTGTACTTTGGACAGCTGCTGGGCATGTGCGACCAGATCAGCTTCCCGCTGGGTAAGCTGGGCCTCCCTGGGGGTGGGGTGCGGGTGTCGGGGTCAGGACTCACCACCTCTGCCTGTGCGTGCAGGCCAGGCGGGCTTCCCTGTGTACAAGTACGTGCCCTACGGCCCTGTGATGGAGGTGCTGCCCTACCTGTCCCGCCGCGCCCTGGAGAACAACAGTGTCATGAAGGGCGCCCGACGGGAGCGGCAGCTGCTATGGCAGGAGCTCAAGCGGAGGCTCTACACAGGCAACCTCTTCTACCGCCCGGCCTAGCGCCCACGGGCCACCTGCCACCAGACTTGGTTTCCCAGGGCCTCAGGCTGGGGTCTGGCTGGGCCCTAGGCCAGTGCTGCTACAGCCCAGCCGCACGCGGATTCACCTCTCCACACCCAAGACTCTGAGAACGGCTTCCTACCCAGGATGTGGGCACCCATGTACAGGCTGATACCTGCCAGAGCCACCGAGAAGGTCAGGAACTGCCCTTTGAGGGGGCACCGCCCCCATCTCTGCCCACTTTCCACCAGGGTCTGTCCCACACACCGTGAGCCCCACAGGTGGGCCAGCCAGGCTGAGGGAGGTGGACTGGTCAATAAACCACTTCTGCAGCCAGGAGCCCTCCACGCCCTTTCCTGTGGGGCCCTCAGGTGGGGTCAGCAGAGAGGGCGTGGCTCCGAGGCCTGAGAAGTCTCACCTGTCTCTGCCTCTCTCCAGTCATGTGTCCCTGGGGGCCAGGCCCACACTTCCATCCAGGCCGTCCTGCAGACCCGCCAGCAGGGTGCTGGACCCCCCCAGCCCCGACCATTACCAACAGGAGGCCCCAGGGATTGTGCGTGGTGCTTCCCCACCCTGGTCTCTCCCTCCCTCACCCCCTTCCTGCTCCCTGTGCCCATGACCCACACCAGGCTTTTGCTGCTCCAATAGGAGCAGGCCCGTGGCTGCCACCCACCGCGTCCCTCAGCTGCCAGCCCCATAGGGCAGACTGGCTGCGCCCTAGTGGCCCAGGGAAAAGGTGATGGGCCTGGGGCTGCACGGGGACAGCCCCAGGCAGGGGCCTCTGTGACACGGGGTGGGGGCACCCTCCGCAGGCCGTGGAGCTGCCACGTGAGGGCCCAGCTGGGCCCTGGTCATGACAGACAACACAGAGCTGTCACACAAGCCACTTGCAGGCCATACCAAGGCGCCTTTATTTCTCTGGCTCACACAAGCGTTGGGCCGCGAGCCTCTCCTACTTGGGGGCGACCAAGAACGGGGCCGAGACCAGAAATAAGCACAGAGCCTGGGCTTGGCAGAGGTCGAGATGTGCTGGTGCCAGGGGCTCTAGCCCTACCCTCTGCTCAGCTCTGGTGCAGCCAGCCAGTAGGCCGGCCTGCTCCCCCCTCCCCACACCGTTCTAGCTTTAGGTGTAAAACCCCTGACAAAGGGGGAGGGGGGGCGGCAGACACAGCCGGGGTCCACCCTGCCTCTCCTCAGAGGTGACCCTTCCTGCAGGCACCTAGGAGGGTAGTGGCCAGACATCAGGAAGACGAGCTCCTTAGCTTTCTGCTACGCGTGGCGACGGGGGACAGGACTGTCTTCCCAGCCAGGACGGGCAGTGGGTGACCGGCAGGGACCCCACCTGCTCACAGGGCTGCCTTCCCCGCCGGGCAGCCTCTTTGCTGCAGCTTCCGGATGAGCTCCAACAGGTTCATCTGTAGTGTCAGCTCCTGGGATCCAGAGGGGCCACTGTGAGGCCAGAATGACATCGGGGGCCCCCTTTGCCCCAGTAAAGGCCCAGGTAGAAGCCCCGTTCCCCAGGGCCCAGGAGCAGACCTCAGGGCCTAGAGTGTGCCAGGCAGTGAGTCTGGCCACAGCCTGCCAGAGACTTGGTGCACACAGATGTATGCCGAGGGGGCCCCACAGGCGCCGTGGAGCTGGGGACGGTGAGCAGTGCCCCTGCACCTGCGGGCAGAGGCGGTGGGACCAGCCTCCATGCTGAGCGCTGCACAGAAACCCTTCCCGGAGCCGAACTCCCCCCATTTCCCTTCCTCCGCGCACCCCAGGCCTCCCCACCCCAACTCGTACCCTGCCACTGCCTGGCACCCAGCCCTATAACCCCAGACGGAATCTGGCCTTTGGGGATTAGCGTCCCCGGGGCTGTGCCAGGGCAGGCCCAGCACACTGACCTGCGGGTTGGTGGTCACGTAGAAGCCAGCAACGCCTGCCTTCTCCAGTGTGCTCTGCTGGTCCGCCACCTTCCGGTCCAGCTCCAGGATGATCTTCTGGTCCATGGCCCGCTGCTCCTCACGGATCCGGTGCTCCATCGCCTGCCACAGTGAGGGCAGCTCAGGGATTCAGCCTCCACCAATACCTCACACACAGGGTCCTGGCCTGCCACTGCCACCCTTCTAGAAGCCTGGGCTCCAGGACCACTGATGGCTCCCTTACTGCGCCCAGATCACTGCCTTCTTGGCCACACCAGACCCCCCAGGGGGCTCGGCTACCCTCCCTCCAATGTCCTCTCTAGGCCCTCCCGCCAGGTGTCCTCCCTCTGCTGTACCAGGCCGCACCCAGTGCTGACTGCTCAGGGCCACCAAGAACTGGCAGACGCCGTTCCACCTCTGCTTCTGTCAAGTCGGCCACTGTCTCTGGGCCTCTGTGCACATTACTTCCCCACGGGGCTGCCTGAGGCTCCAGCTCGGCACCTCCTCCCTGCACCCCAGCCTTGAGACTGCCTCGGAACCCCACACCTCTCTCTGCATGCACCCCCATCATCCATGGCTGCTTGGTCACATTTAGGCTTTCTGGTTGTCCCTGAGTAACCAGGGAGCAGGATGGGCCCCTGCCGACTCCCTGTCACCCCACCATTGCCCTTGCACCTCCAAGGCCATGGGCACAATAGCCCCTGCACAGGCCCAGCCCATCAGGAGCTGCGGTCTTGGGGAGCAGGTGGAGGGGATCGCACACTCTCTACCTGGTCCTGGCACTCCAACACCCCATGGTGAGAAGCCACATGTAAGAACTCTCCAAGCCTTCAGCAGCCCACCCCAGGCTGGGGCCCAGGACAGCCAGCAGCTCCCAGTCCCCCCTGAGCCCCTCCACCGGGCCCCGTCAGCAGAGCCCAGGTGGCTCCCACCCTGCCTGCACCCGTACCTCCTGCTCGCGCTGCTGAGCTGCCTGGAGCACGGGCAGGTTGTGGGGCCGGCAGGCCTGCTGGGCTTCCTGGTGCTTCTGCCGCAGTGCCTGCCGGAGCACTGGGAGGGAACAAGACCAGAGAGTCCATCAGGAGGCGGCAGGGGCGAGGTGGAGGGGCCAGGGAACACCTCCCACCTCTGGGCCTGCCCGACCTCAGCACCAAACTGAGGCCCAGGGCAGCCAGGTAAAGGCGTAGACGTGAGGCCCCAACTGATCACCCAGCCGGCCCGAAGCCCTATACAAGAAGC